AAATTATTATATAAATCATTAAATTATTAATATTATATCTCCCTCTCTCTTAAATTTATATATCGTATTTTATAAATCATATTATATAATATATGTACAAACATAATACTTAAATAGAATTTTATTTATTTATTTAAAGTGTCTATTTATATCCATGTTCTGGATTACTATGAGACAATATATGGCAGAACGAAAACGACAACAGCGATTTTCCACTCTGAGAGACATGATAGCGCCGTTACACGTGTCTGTCTCGACAGCCACAACTGCCATGAGTCACGATGAGCCAGAAATCAAGAGCAAATTTATGAAAAACGTTGGGAAGCTATTGCATAATCTATTGACAAAATTCTGGATTGCCGTGGTAGCAATCATGCTGTTCATCTGTGGCATTACAGGCGAACGTATGACAGTCTTTAGAATTGTTTACATGTCGCTGTTTCTCTTCTTTGTCATCACATTCCAGGTGTCGTATTTGATTCTTATACACACGCATATAAATATGTATTAAAAATTTGTTAATAAAGATGTATTTTATAAATAAATGGCGCGTGAATTTTTAGATATCGTGGATAGCGTGGAGAAGAATGATGTACGGATTCTGGGTGACTGTCATTGGATATTCAATTGCCATGCTGATTCTCGTTTATACGTATCAGTTTCGGAATTTTCCGAGTTACTGGAATGATCTCGGTATAGATTCAGATTTGTGAGTAATGATTAATTACTATTCCGTTCATTAGTCATTTAGATCTCCCAATAAACGCATTTATTCTGTTATCATTTTAGACAAATGGATATTGGATTGGAGAAGTACCAGATCAAAGACCTATTCGTGAGGTTACTGACCCCAACGTTTTTCGTCATTATCACAGTGCTTCAGATTCATTATTTCCACAAGGATTTTCTTAATGTTACCAATATCGACAGATTAGAGTTTGTATAGAAATAATATATCATATATCATTATATAATGACAATATCTAAAAGTATATATCTTCAATTTTAGGCCTGAAAGCTCATTTAGACGCGCCAGTCTGGGATACTCGCCTAGTTTAAATATTCCAATATCTTCACCGGCTGACGTCACGCTCACTGAAAACGAAAATTATACAATATACACATTGAAGCAGTTAAAACGTATATGCTCTCATCATTTTTTTTTTTTTACCGATTATTATCATCATTCTAACGTCACGAAATTTTATAAAATGTTTTTGAAATTTCTTACAGATATGTCAAAATTAGAAAGAATTGCGCTATTTCGAAGAATAACAAAGCATTTAGTAAATTTTTACAATTATACTTGGCTCTTTCTCGAAATTCACATGCAGAAAATTATTTTTATTTCATTCATACTTTTATGTATCAATGATGTAAGTAAAATCACTATAATTTATTACGATTGTTAGATTAAATAATAAATTGACTGCATGAATAAAAATGTTTTAGGTATGCGCAATAAATTTCTTCTTTATCGTCGCCGTAGTTGTGATGATCAATTTCAAAAGAAACATCCAAATAAATGCAATTAATATTATGGCTGCAATAATATCGCTTTTAACGGTCACCAAAATGTTGTATCAAATCCAATATATCAATCATGATAACTGGAACGTCAATTGCACTGTAAAAATTAAAACTGTTATATACTTTATTACAACAAAGGGGAAATTTTTCTTATAGTTTAATTCCACGTATTATTCTAAATAATTTCAGAGATACGGAGAGGAGGATAATCAACAATATGCAAGCAACAATACTGTCTACAACATAGCCGAATGGTTCGGAATGAAAAAAGCAGGGCCGGGTAAACTTCCGGATCTATTGAAAGGCTATATTGGCATCGTTACTGTGACAACTTTCAGAAAAATTATTAGAATTCGTCAATGGTTTTATCGCCATAATAAAGGAGAACCATTGGAGACTCCTCAAGTAATGTTTCCGAATATCACTAGAGCGGATGCTGATAAGGGGCTGCCAGAATGCTTAAAGTTCCTCTTCAACTACGGTTTCTATAAATTCGGCCTTGAGATGTGCCTCATCGGGATTGTTACGCTGATCGGCACAAGACTAGATTTTTACTCCGTTTTATATAGCGTGTGGCTGTTACTATTTTTCCCGTTAAAGAGAAGAACCGTGGCGCGAATCTGGCCTTGTTTTAGAAGTTTTGTCATTATTCTTCTACCTATTCAATATGCCATCGTTGTGGCTCCACCTTCCTGGCTTTGTATAGGTAATATGATGACAAATATAAATCTTTAAATTAAATAAAGCAAATAAATTTTTTTTTTTTTATTTGTCTTAGAATATCCATGGAGCGAGTCTGAGATGATGAGAAAATTGCAGGAATGGATGTATCTTCCTGATCCAGATTTTCCACCAAATTCTAGAAAATTGATTTGTGAGTTTTGTTAATTTTATTCTTAAAATTGACGAAAAAGCTTTGCAACATTGTTACGTGTCTCTCTTTATTTAGGCGATTTTATCTTATTGATGATGATCGTGCGACAAAGTCTAGTCTTTCATATCGAACAACAAAGCTTACAATCTGGTAGAGATTTTGTAGCTGGCCATAATTATTCCGTCTTCCAAGATATGGAGAAACCAAATTTTGTGAATCCTGTCAAAGATTACGTATCGCACATTCAATCTTGGCTGGATATAATCAAACGCGGTTGCATGATGAGTCTCATGTGGGTGACGCTATCGATTATGTTCTTGGCTGGAACGAAAAGAACGAATCTCTTTTCGCTCGGTTACCTCATAGGAGCATTCGTATTCCTTTGGCAAGGAAGCGACTTTTATTTGAGACCGATGAGAATTATTTTAAAATGGTGGAACCTGCTGATTGGCTACAACATCATTGTTATCTTTTTGAAGGCTTTACTTCAGGGTGTGGGCTGTGTCCTTATCAAAGATGTAAGTTTTTCTTCATTTTTGCTGTGTAAATTTTGATTCCATTTTTTGTATAAAGAACATGTTTCTCTACATCAAATAGAAAATTTTAATTAAAATAATAATTCAAATAATTAAAAATAATAACGTAATAGAAAATTTAATTTACGAAAAATTAAAAATAAATAAAAATACAGAAAATGATCAAAAGAGTACATAAAAATTATTAATTTTTTTTTATAATACTAGCTCGAAAATTCAGCCTGTTGGCTAGTGCAGTTACTTGGTATCGCATGTCTGAAAAAGTTCAAGAGCTCCAGCGAATTGCTGGATCCCGTCAATTCCGAGTGTAACGTTGCTAGAGAAGACATCGGAATGGTTTGGGATGGACTATGCCTTTGTTTCCTTTTAATACAGAAACGACTCATTATTCTTCAATATGCCATCGTTGTGGCTCCACCTTCCTGGCTTTGTATAGGTAATATGATGACAAATATAAATCTTTAAATTAAATAAATTAAATAAATTTTTTTTTTTTTTATTTGTCTTAGAATATCCATGGAGCGAGTCTGAGATGATGAGAAAATTGCAGGAATGGATGTATCTTCCTGATCCAGATTTTCCACCAAATTCTAGAAAATTGATTTGTGAGTTTTGTTAATTTTATTCTTAAAATTGACGAAAAAGCTTTGCAACATTGTTACGTGTCTCTCTTTATTTAGGCGATTTTATCTTATTGATGATGATCGTGCGACAAAGTCTAGTCTTTCATATCGAACAACAAAGCTTACAATCTGGTAGAGATTTTGTAGCTGGCCATAATTATTCCGTCTTCCAAGATATGGAGAAACCAAATTTTGTGAATCCTGTCAAAGATTACGTATCGCACATTCAATCTTGGCTGGATATAATCAAACGCGGTTGCATGATGAGTCTCATGTGGGTGACGCTATCGATTATGTTCTTGGCTGGAACGAAAAGAACGAATCTCTTTTCGCTCGGTTACCTCATAGGAGCATTCGTATTCCTTTGGCAAGGAAGCGACTTTTATTTGAGACCGATGAGAATTATTTTAAAATGGTGGAACCTGCTGATTGGCTACAACATCATTGTTATCTTTTTGAAGGCTTTACTTCAGGGTGTGGGCTGTGTCCTTATCAAAGATGTAAGTTTTTCTTCATTTTTGCTGTGTAAATTTTGATTCCATTTTTTGTAAAAAGAACATGTTTCTCTACATCAAATAGAAAATTTTAATTAAAATAATAATTCAAATAATTAAAAATAATAACGTAATAGAAAATTTAATTTACGAAAAATTAAAAATAAATAAAAATACAGAAAATGATCAAAAGAGTACATAAAAATTATTAATTTTTTTTTATAATACTAGCTCGAAAATTCAGCCTGTTGGCTAGTGCAGTTACTTGGTATCGCATGTCTGAAAAAGTTCAAGAGCTCCAGCGAATTGCTGGATCCCGTCAATTCCGAGTGTAACGTTGCTAGAGAAGACATCGGAATGGTTTGGGATGGACTATGCCTTTGTTTCCTTTTAATACAGAAACGACTTTTCAAAAGCTACTACTTCTTTCATATAGTAGATGAGACAAAAGCCATGAGCATCCTAGCATCTCGCGGCGCCGAACTTCTCGAAGAGCTCCATCAGAAGCGTATAGATATCCAAGAGAATGTGGAGAAAACAGTTTTAGAAAAATTAAAATACAAAATGGATAAGATCAAGGCTAATCAGCAAAGAATACAGAGACCATCTTACAAAGAAATTCATGGTCACAAAGTCGGTAAGGCAATCTTTTCTTGATAATAATAATTTTAAATAATATTCACGTAGAAAAATATATTATATCGAGAAGTAATTCTGAAAAAAATATGATTGTTGTTCTTCAATAAGCGATTGTAAGATTTTACGTAGATCATGAACTACATCGAATTAATAATCAACTTCCTGTTAAAAGCCTTTCTTAAAGCTCATATTCTGTTCTAATAACAACGAATATTTTAATTTAAAACAGATAAGTTAAGTACTAAAGTCTACATAAATATTAATCATTTTCAGTTCTACACTAACAAATAATTTCGTAATGTCAAATTCATAAAATTCATAATTTTCCGCAATGTCACTATCACTCCGTTGCAACACGTTCATTACATGTGGCAGAGATATAATATCCAATATATGTGTATCTTTAATGCGTGGAAAAGAGAGACAGGCACCGCTGGCGAGAACCTCCAGCGTGAGTTCCTGCGTATCAGATCATACGCCGCCGCAGGGATATCAGACGCCTCTGGATGAGGACGATGACGAGCCACCTCCGCTGACGCCACGAGCAGCATCCTTATTACAGGCTCCTACACCAAATTCCGCCGTTATGACGGCCAGTCTCGAGGGCTATCTCGAACCGTACCGTATCTCGTTCGGTTCGCCGCCTAGCAGCGAGCTGAATCCTCGGGGACCATCGCCGGATGAGACATTCCCGGTATTCTCGCCCCCGCCTTACGATCGAAATCCGACCGATCGATCGTTAACATCATCTATGCGACACCGGCGTCAATCCAGCTTCCCGAGCGGTCCACCGTGGATGAACGAGCTGCAAACCCCGCGCCAATCGATCATCTCGACGGTCTCTCGCTCCCCGCATTCGCATCACACGTGTAATCGCTCATCTGCAACAATCTCCTCGTCGCCAGTGTGCCACGATGTCTTATACATACGCTTCCTCACGCCTGCATACCTAAATCTTTCACAAAATACTTTACATTGTCTGATGTTCGTCTCGTCTTGTTAGGAGTGGTAGGAGTGTCTCTTTTTTTAGTAGTGAAATATACTGTATGATAAAACATATAACTAAAAGAATTAATATTAATGTACATAAACGTTTACATTTGCAGGTCTCTGTCTATGCATATTCAATCTTCTATCATTCTCTATTATTTTTTATTCTTTTTATCATAATTATTTACCATATATATATCTATTATCATTTAATGATAAATCTTATAATTAATTTTTAATATCTTAAATTTCTTAGCATATATATATGTTAAGAAATTTATAAATTAAATATATATATATATCATATATATATTCAAAATTATTTCTATAAAATAATAAGATTTTCCTTATATCTATTAATGATTATAATTTTTCATCAATTTTTCAGCAATCTCATCAACGACAGAATTGAAGAATTTAATTGTGAATTACTTGATATACATACGTGTGACATACTGTAATATATTATGTGCTCTGTAGCAATATTGCTAAATTTTTTTAGTTTTTTCTATTTTTATTTTATTTTTTGTGTCTTTTTATTAGATGAACTCTATCCAGGAACACGGCCATTGTACAAAATTCGTACGCCGAAGACTAACAGAGAGGGTAAATTTATATTATAGCTATCTGTGCATTTCCCTAATCGATATTCCCATCCCAATGATCCTAGATCTATTCTACAGTCTAACTTGTATATAAGATGTACAGTCTAAAAATAGAAAAGCTTATGTATAGTTTGAAATGGCTGTTGTATCAATAAATTTTATAATTATTTAATTATCTATTGACGTGCATATTTATGTATTTTTAATGGAAACGTAAAATGACTATATTAAAATTACAGTATAATAGTTAAATGCCTTAAATATTCTCGCACTTTCTTCTAACTACATTTTCAATATACATGCATGGCTTTTGCTTACGTATTATAAATAATTTATTAAAAACCAATAATCTCTTTTACAATTAGCGATCAGATCGGGCGACTATTACATGTTTGACGATCTGGATGACGATGATGTTACCGATTTGGTCCCTGACAGCGAAGCCGAGAAGAAGGAGAAAAAACTTGTCCGTCAACAGGAGCGACAAAAAAGAAGAATGACTGTTTCGGAGGTATGTAGATTAGGAACATATAAGTACCAGATTATTCATTATTTTGATTTTTCAAAGATTTCGGTATGAATTTGAGTGTGATTATGCTGTGAAATTCAATAAACAATTAAGGTTTTTGTGTTACATTTCACTAATCTTTTAATAAGATATTACGGTTCATCGAGATCTGAAAAAATTCCAAATATTATACAAATAAAATCTAATTATTTACATTTGTATGTTTTTGTGAAATCTTTATATTATATTTATAAAAACGTATAATATCTTAAAATTCTCGAAAAATATTTTGAAAGAGCATTTTGAGATTAAACAGACCACTTTATAGCCGAATGATAGATCTTTTCGTATAAAGATCGCAAAAATCTTCTCATGTATGCCATTTTTATTACCTCATCTCTTTTTTTGCTCTAAGTCTACCGATCGCACTGTCAACCCTCTCTCTCCCTTTCTCTCTTTCTGTCTCCTCGTCGAAGATGAAAGACCCCACGCAATACGTCCGGACCAAAACGACGCATGAAATCGAATGTAAATATTAAATCGTGAGAACTGACGCGTAAGTCTCCTTGCAGTTGATGAACACGCTGATTAAGACAGACATTGAAATTGCGACGCACGTCGCCATGTATGGAGGGACCGAAAAGGACGCGCTGAGACTCCGACGTAGAAGCGTACCCTTGACTCGGAAGAAATCATCCATGTCCTATCTGAGCGCTCGCTCCGAGACTGATACTGCCATGGCTACCGATGTGAGACATTCCCTTTCCCTTTAAAAGGCTGCATGACCGCTGCAGGCACTTATTTGGCTATAATCGTCAACTTTTACCCTTGTTTATAACACTGTCTCCAAACGACTACATCAAGCAGACAGATCTCACTATTGAATATCAATGTGCGGTTGACTTTTTCTTGAGGGAAAAATTGAATCTTATATTTTATACAGAAAAACATACTTTATTATAAAGTATATTATTAGATTAATTTATTATATATATAAATGCTAAAATATTTTTTTCTCGTTAACTCCCTGTTTCAGAAAAATCAACTGCAGATTATTTTATCAATAAGATCCGATTTTTGGCTATTGCTTTCCTGTCCTGCAAAGTCCTGTCTCGCACATTTTTGTGCTAGTATATTCTTCTTGTTAGTACCATTCTTCTGTATTACTGCTTCTTCGTTCGTCGATAATGCAATTTATTCTACTCTGCCCTTTATATTTTTATTTTTCTGATATCTTAGTCTTGTTTTTCGCGAGAAATTATTAACTTGCCGCATTAACATTATTATATATTTTTTTTCTTCTATATAATTTTTTTTCCAGTATAATTAATAAGATATTCTTTATACAGTTTAATTTATATTATAATGTATGTATTATAATATTTTTATTTATATGTTTTATTTTTTACTAAACATAATTTAACGCACAATAATATAAAATAATCAACAGCGTATTCTTTTATATAATTATGATGACTAAATATATACTTGCATATATATATTCTTAATAGCGTTTATACAACGCTTTTACTTATCGATGATACTTCTTTCTTCTCTTCTAAGCTCTCGGCTTCGTAGTAGCAAATTATAGAAAGTAAAATCTTACTTATTATATTATTACTGTGGTCTTTGTTGTCTTCACATCATCTAACATCGTACTTAATTTTAATTAATTTATATGTCGTAATCACGCAAAACTTTGGCGAGGTATTTTATTGTATACACAAATTTGTTTAAAAATCAGCTTATTTCAAATTTTGAAATTTATTGTAATTCTCTCTTTTAATTACATGGTGATTGTACGCTTGTTATGTATACAGTATGAGTACATCTATAAGAAATATTAAATATAATCAATTGTAAAAAAATAGGCATTTTGATTATGATTAAAAACTGTCGATAATAGGAATAATTTTGAAAATTATAGGATGAGAAATAGTACAGCTCGAATATCAACAAATAAAATTGTTGATAAACGTGCCTAAAAAAATTTTTTTAAATTCTGTTTTAAATTTTTATAGGAAAGTAATAATTATTCGATCACTGTTCAATACATTTTGTACGAACCTTTGCATTTTTTTCGACAGATTTAATTATTTTCAAACTCACGATTTCAATTTAAACACTGTATATGTATGCGTGTATACAATATTCTTTGATATATAAAATTTATTGTTATATTAATTAGGGTCCCGATCGAACGAGTCTCACTTCAGTAGACATGGAAGATAAAGAAGCTACAGACTTGGCTAAAACACCGGAATCTTCTGACGAAGAGGAAGATAAATTAGAAGACAAGAAAGAAGACGACAAAGAAAAAGAAGAGGAGAAAAAAGCCTCATTCTCCACATATTTCAAGTTTCTCTTGGTGATGATCAACAGCACTCTAACATCGATGACGAAATATCTAAATCGATTCTCTCATGATTATAGATATATTCGCAAAGTTTTAGCGAGAGAGAAAAGAACTCTAAAGGTAAATCATATTAGAAGAAAGAAATATTAATTTCCACAAATAAAATAGTAGTAGTGAGTATTTTTAATATTATTAGCAATTGTGTTATGTATTTAGGCGAAACCAGATTTTAGAATGGGAACGCGATTAGGAATAAATCAAATGTGGCAGCCGATACCTCTAATGCAGGAACGGTAAGTTTGCTCTCTTTCTCTCTCATGTATTACAAATCTTATAATTATAAAACTAAATTTTGCATTGTAGTTGTTTATTATATAATTGAGAAACTGTATATATATATATACATATTTATTATTATTAACCCTATAAAAAATTTTAGCGTCCGTAAGAAAGTTATTCTCTTTTGTTATCTAGGAAAATTTATATTACTTATTGCTTATGGTTATAAAATTCTAGTTTCATAGATATAGAATATTAATTACTTTCACGCTGTGCTCCCCCGGCTTTTCAAGCGCCAGCTTGTAAATATGTAGTTGCATAAATTATATATAATTTGTGTAGCTGCTATTTGCATATATGTTTGTTTAAACAGATACAAGTCTACTTTTACAAGACGCTAATTTTCTGTAAATATATTACGCAATATATAACACTTTAACTCTTCCTTATATTTCTTTTATATCTTTTTAATACCTTACCGCATATATATATTTATAATTTAAACTAGATAATTAAAAATATTTTTATTTACTTTTAAAATCGTAACAGTAGATCGTTTCAGTAAACAGTAAAAGAACTGCGGTAAGGAATTAATTTGTAGCTCTATAGTGTTGCAAAGCATACTTCAAAATATTAGTTGGCGTCAAAAAGTATTTATAGTTAACTTGTGCTTTCCCCCTCACGTTCCATTAGAACGTAAATTAGTAAAAAGACTAAAACCCGGTACTTAAAAAAGATGTAAGTATACAAAGAGTGTAATTTTAGCGATCTCAGAATTAAAAAAAAAAAAAAAAAACGAAGATGCTAGTAGTATAAATGCACCAGAAGTGGCGCAAAAGTGTTCGCACGTAATAGAATTTAAATTACCCGTTTCAGATTCACGCAAGTTGAGCTTTCGCATGGGACTCGTATACTTCCTCGAAACGTTAATTACGTTTCGTGTTTGTTTTCCTGCTTTCTGTTCCTCTCTCGCTTCATTAAATGTGCTTGCTGTAACAGATCGGCTATAAACGGCAATACGGAAGAACAGTTTGATCCTGGCGAAGGTCCAAGTCAACCGCGTCCACAGGATGAAAGGTAAGGGCATTTATGTTGCTGTAAAATGCTTTTAACAATAAGTGAAATTCTAGTTTATAATACTAACATGATTCTTTTCTAAGGCTAAACTAATACTAACCCCATTGACAGTTTATCTTTATAGTAATTATTCGTATAGTAATTAATTTTGGCAAGTACAATTAATTCGACCTTATCTGTACATGCTTAATTGCAAAAATAAGTTAATCGTATATTCTTCGCATGATTATATTCGTTTTCTGAATTTTGTTTGAATTTTTTTACCTTATTCAAAACTTTATCATATATATCATATTTTTTACTATATTTTAAACTACTTTGTGAATTATTATGTTTTACTTTTAAAGAACGGTATTTTATTTAAAAATCGACGTTAAATAAAACCTAAAAAATATATATATATTTAAAAAACATTAGTTAATACACACAAACAATAAAAATATATTTTATATATTATATTTAGATATATTTTATTATAAATATTTTAAAAAGAGATTTTCTTTTTGTTGAAATTTCTTTGTCATCATCTTCTTTTTCTCTATCATTCTCTATAATGGATAAAATTGATAATATAGTAATATTTTTGAATCTTGATTAAAACATTTTGCGTTTGAAATACATTCGTACGAAGTAAACGTAGAAAGAGCGTGGTGTTATCTGTGTCAGGAAGGAGAGCTCACTGGCAGTGCCGCATATCCGAATTCTGGCGCCGAGTTTGGAGCGAGGATTGGACATGTCCTCCTCCAGGTATCGAAAGTGTGTCGTGAAATCCAAGCACCTCGATGTGCTTGGCCTCCTTATTATTTCAAACGCACTATTTGCACGCTTGCCCTCGCATGCGGCACGTCAATCGAGATCTTCTTGTATCCATTTGCCTGTCACACCTATTTTGCGTGCTATATTTTATGACAAATCCTTAAAAAAATGGGATTACTTTCTGACCCGATGAGAGTCACGTAATGATCAAGAAAACTAGCTTACGATGAGTGATCTTCGTATTCCTTTAATTATCATGCACATTGACAGAAACAAACGATGTTCACTACGATAAATGCCTTAATGTTTTCGAATTTTTTTAGCTCTATTTCCACAGGGATAATTTTTAAACTGAGCTTTAAATGTGCTTTTGATATTGATTTCTCACAGAAGAAAGATGCATTTCTATTTTAATGTATACTGTTTAACTTCGAAATATGAAAATATTTTTATATATTACAATACAAAAAAGATACTTATCTAAAATAATTTTTCTTAAATAAATTTTTTTATGTATAACATTTTGATTTAAATTAAAATTTTATATTCATACTTCTATCTTTTTGTTACACATTAAAATGTTTTTAAATTAAATAATTTGTTTATGTGTTATGTGAAATCCATATTTCATATAAGTAACATATCATCTTTCTTCTATGGATTTGTGTTGAATAAATTATATTTAGTATTACAAAATACAACTGACTAAAAATTTTTATGTATGCAGCACACTTTTCTCGCAAGCTTTAGCAGCCCAGAAAGACGAAGAGATTAAAGAACTTTCAGAAGTGGATCAACCACCCATCATACAACTGGCAGCATCTATTTGGTTTGGAATCCTCGCTCATTCCAGTTTACTCTGTTACTTCATGGTATTCCTTCATCAAATTAAGAACGCATCTGTACTGTCAACACCATTGCCGCTTATGGTATTTTTGTGGGGTTCTTTAACGATCCCGCGACCCTCGAAGACCTTCTGGGTAACATTGATTGCATATGTCGAGGTAAGAAATACATTTTGTAGTTTTTATTTCTGAGTATATAATAAAACCAAAAATACATAAATTTTCAGGCTATTGTCATAATAAAATGTATTTTTCAATTGGAATTGATTCCTTCACCGCGAGTTACACCAAGCAATCCATTATACGTGTCAAGAATTATGGGCGTTTTAAAGAGACCTAATTATGCTCTTTGGGATTTATTACTGCTCCTTATCTTGTTCTTTCATAGGTATACAGAAAGATATACTTGTTAACACATGCAAAAATATTTCATAAAATATAATGTCATGTAATTGATCTATAGATTAATGTTAAAATCCTTGGGCCAATGGACGGCTTCATCTCTTAAACAGCGGAAAGTTATTCCTTCTCAATTAACTGTGCCGTCGAAACTACCACTTTCTGACAGAGAACAAGAAGAAACTGACACCGAGAAGAAAGAAACCGAGTATGTCACGATCATTATTGAAAAATGTTTTATTTTAACAACATGTCAATTTTCTATTATAAATATGTCATGCTTTTTAATGTGTTATAGTTCTCATGTAGAGACACCTCAAGAACGATCTTTGAACGCTCACGTAACGGATGACACACGCGATGTTCCGTCCACAGACGATAACGAGAAGCTCGTGGTGCAAGAAGAAATGCATCCTCACAATAAATCTTTGTCTAAGACAATGGATATGACGTAAGCAATAATTAATATATTTTATCAAAGTATCAATATAAATTTGTAAGAAAAAATTTTTATATACATTTCTGATAGTTTGTAACGTAATAAAGATCAAAGAGAAATAATATTTTAAAAAACTTTATCTTTAAGTTGTGTTCTTTGTCTGATTAAGTCAAATTATATTTTTTAATTTTGCAGAGTCAACAAATATGCCGGACCAATAAAGAACTTCTTTGAAACGATTATCAGTCCAGTAGGCAAAGAGAAAACAAATGTTTACGCTTATATGTTTCTTTGCGACTTCTTCAACTTTCTCTTACTCATCTTCGGCTTCTCCGCATTCGGAGTAAGAATATTGATTGCAAGATTTATTAAGTTATTTATATTTATATAAATAATAATATTGATACATATTATATGTGTGATATTATGCATGTTTGATATTATGTGTTTTTCAATTTTAGACTCAACAAGGCGATGGCGGAGTGACGGCTTATCTTCAGGAAAATCGAGTTCCTATGCCTTTCTTGTTGATGCTGCTATTACAATTTGCCCTAATCGTTATCGATAGAGCTCTTTTTCTCAGAAAATATATTGCGGGAAAATTAATATTCCAATACTGCTTAGTATTCGGTGTTCATCTCTGGATGTTCTTTATTTTACCGAGCGTAACAGACAGGTAAAATATAATCTTATTATCTTCTCTGAACATTTATATTATGTACAATATATTAATAATTACAGACAATTCAATGATAACCTTGCGCCGCAAATCTGGTACATGGTGAAATGCTTCTATCTTTTGCTAGCAGCTTATCAATTACGACAAGGTTACCCAACTCGAATACTGGGCAACTTTCTATGCAAAAAATACAGTATTGTAAATTATGTCTTATTCAAAGGGTTGGTAAAATATTCATTACAGATATTCATATTTATTATAGATAAATATAAAATTTTTTTCTATATTGATCTAAAAATTATCTTGCAGATTTATGTTGGTTCCGTTCCTCTTTGAACTTCGCGCAGTCATGGATTGGATCTGGACTGATACATCTATGACCGTAATGGATTGGTTTAAGATGGAAGATATTTTTGCTAGCATTTATCAAATCAAAGTAAGTTATATATAAATGTATTATAATAAACGATACTATTTGTATAAAAAAGTACTACTTTTTTCAATCATCTTAAATCGAATATTTACTTAAAATTTTTGTATAATGTTTCTGTAAAAAAAAGTACTTAATTAATTTTCTCAGCATATAGAAAAAGACTAAATTATGTCACTATTTTGCAAATATGTATAAATTGTAATATATTTTTTATAAAATTTTAGTGCATGCGAGGAGTCGAATCAGATTTTCCTCAACCACGTGGAGAAAAGAAAAAGCAAATGAGCAAGTACTTGGTAGGCGGGAGTGCTCTCTTTTTCATAATCGGATTAATTTGGTTCCCGCTGCTCTTATTTGCGCTTGGTAGTACAGTCGGCATATCGAATTTACCTTACGATGTATCTATGAAAATACGGATCGGTCCATACGAGCCCATCTATTCCATGTCCGCGCAAGGCAGCTCTATCATCGAATACACGGAAGACCAATATAAAACTCTCACAGAGATACGAGTATGTCACGATCATTATTGAAAAATGTTTTATTTTAACAACATGTCAATTTTCTATTATAAATATGTCATGCTTTTTAATGTGTTATAGTTCTCATGTAGAGACACCTCAAGAACGATCTTTGAACGCTCACGTAACGGATGACACACGCGATGTTCCGTCCACAGACGATAACGAGAAGCTCGTGGTGCAAGAAGAAATGCATCCTCACAATAAATCTTTGTCTAAGACAATGGATATGACGTAAGCAATAATTAATATATTTTATCAAAGTATCAATATAAATTTGTAAGAAAAAATTTTTATATACATTTCTGATAGTTTGTAACGTAATAAAGATCAAAGAGAAATAATATTTTAAAAAACTTTATCTTTAAGTTGTGTTCTTTGTCTGATTAAGTCAAATTATATTTTTTAATTTTGCAGAGTCAACAAATATGCCGGACCAATAAAGAACTTCTTTGAAACGATTATCAGTCCAGTAGGCAAAGAGAAAACAAATGTTTACGCTTATATGTTTCTTTGCGACTTCTTCAACTTTCTCTTACTCATCTTCGGCTTCTCCGCATTCGGAGTAAGAATATTGATTGCAAGATTTATTAAGTTATTTATATTTATATAAATAATAATATTGATACATATTATATGTGTGATATTATGCATGTTTGATATTATGTGTTTTTCAATTTTAGACTCAACAAGGCGATGGCGGAGTGACGGCTTATCTTCAGGAAAATCGAGTTCCTATGCCTTTCTTGTTGATGCTGCTATTACAATTTGCCCTAATCGTTATCGATAGAGCTCTTTTTCTCAGAAAATATATTGCGGGAAAATTAATATTCCAATACTGCTTAGTATTCGGTGTTCATCTCTGGATGTTCTTTATTTTACCGAGCGTAACAGACAGGTAAAATATAATCTTATTATCTTCTCTGAACATTTATATTATGTACAATATATTAATAATTACAGACAATTCAATGATAACCTTGCGCCGCAAATCTGGTACATGGTGAAATGCTTCTATCTTTTGCTAGCAGCTTATCAATTACGACAAGGTTACCCAACTCGAATACTGGGCAACTTTCTATGCAAAAAATACAGTATTGTAAATTATGTCTTATTCAAAGGGTTGGTAAAATATTCATTACAGATATTCATATTTATTATAGATAAATATAAAATTTTTTTCTATATTGATCTAAAAATTATCTTGCAGATTTATGTTGGTTCCGTTCCTCTTTGAACTTCGCGCAGTCATGGATTGGATCTGGACTGATACATCTATGACCGTAATGGATTGGTTTAAGATGGAAGATATTTTTGCTAGCATTTATCAAATCAAAGTAAGTTATATATAAATGTATTATAATAAACGATACTATTTGTATAAAAAAGTACTACTTTTTTCAATCATCTTAAATCGAATATTTACTTAAAATTTTTGTATAATGTTTCTGTAAAAAAAAGTACTTAATTAATTTTCTCAGCATATAGAAAAAGACTAAATTATGTCACTATTTTGCAAATATGTATAAATTGTAATATATTTTTTATAAAATTTTAGTGCATGCGAGGAGTCGAATCAGATTTTCCTCAACCACGTGGAGAAAAGAAAAAGCAAATGAGCAAGTACTTGGTAGGCGGGAGTGCTCTCTTTTTCATAATCGGATTAATTTGGTTCCCGCTGCTCTTATTTGCGCTTGGTAGTACAGTCGGCATATCGAATTTACCTTACGATGTATCTATGAAAATACGGATCGGTCCATACGAGCCCATCTATTCCATGTCCGCGCAAGGCAGCTCTATCATCGAATACACGGAAGACCAATATAAAACTCTCACAGAGATAAATTCGACAGAAAGATCGGCGGTTACATTCTTCGAAAATTACAAGTATTCTGATGTGGCTGCAGTGAGGTTCAATACTTTCTCGAGAAAATTTTGGAGTATCTCTCCACCCGATAAAGATAGGTTCGTTCTATTTAAAAAAAAAATTATAACTTTAAAATAGTTAATTTTAAATCTAGAAATATTTACAATTAATAGAACCTAATTGAGCAATGGAAAATTAGAAATATATATATATAATAGAAATGTTTTATTACCTTCCTGGAAAAAAAAAAATAATAATGTTGGAAGATAAAATCTCATGGGTTACATAAAAACATTTAAGATACATTTATCATTATTATTTTTTTCAGATTGAAAACGGAATTAGCTTCTAACACTACGACAATAGTTGTACATGTGGAATGGACAGTTTCAAGAAAAACAGACGTCAAGGATGCTACTGGAATTACCACAACGAATCATGATATAGAACTGCTGCCCTTCGTAAACGGAGAATTCAATACTGTAAGACAAACATTAGTGGACATGCTAAGTGAGAACCCTAGCGCAGAAAATGCAACGATAATATTCCAAAGCGCTTTTCCGAAATTTCTCAAAGTCACTGCTAGAAGCACCAGCGTTGTTCATCAATTAATGCGATCACGTCGTTCATGTAAGCATAATTGGGCGCTTAATTGAACGAGCATAATTAAAATTAAAGAGCAATTTAAAATTGAAGAGCAATATTAAGAAAAATAAAATTATTACTTATATGTTTCTAGCGCAAACAGACGAAGAAGATAAAGATGAAAAATATCTCTACAGAAACATCAGTATTCATTTATCAACGGAGAAAGATTGTTGTGCTCATCAACAATGGTGGATGATTCATGAGACATGCACCGACGATCTATACAAAGATGTTTTGAACCAGGTGCCATTAAACGATTGCGATAAGTACATTATGATGTTTCTGTTCAATGACAAGGCTTTCCCCAAGGAATTGAGCTTCATCAGCGGATTCGGGTAAGTTTATAATAGTAAAAACAGAAATAGCTTTATATATATGTGTATCTGTGTGTTTTTATTGTATAATCTTACGAAAAATAATGAGAAAATATTTTATGAGCTCATTATTATTTGTGATTGTCATTATCTAATAATATTTTATATAATTACAATATAATATGTATAACACACAGGATTCTTGGTTTATATACTACGGCAGTGATAGTCATAAGTCAGATGATGCGGAAAATCGTCAGCGATATGGCACCCAAGATCATGTTCGATGATTTGCCTTATGTCGACAGAATTCTTCGCCTCTGTTTAGATATTTATTTGGTTCGCGAAAGCGGTGATTTATGCCTCGAAGAAGATCTATTCGCCAAATTAATCTTCCTATATAGATCGCCAGAAACACTCATTAGGTAAGCTCATGACCTTACGTTTATAAATTTTAGATATTACTGTAATATATATATATATATATATATATACTTAAGCTAAGAATTGTGGGGCGAGATGTCGAGGCATATTAATAACAGTGATGGAAGAAAAAAAGAAAAGTACATTGCGCGGGCAGAATTATACACGCATGTCCGGTAAGTTAACATAGGATAGATACAAAAAAAAAAGAAAAGAGAGACGGTTATTTAAGAATTACTATGTTGAGTGTGTGTCATTGCCGTTTTTTGTTGCCACCTCCCCCTTTCCCAACGGAATTACATTTGTAAACACGCGCGCGATCGTATTTCTGTAAAATATTTTTTCTCTCTCATCTCACTATTTATAATAAATAAGTTTCTTTTATAGTTGTATATATTATCGAATAATATTGTTATTGCTATTCTTACTATCGCTATTTTATCGCTGCTGTTACTATTAGATTATAAATAAAAGCAGAGGTCTCTCTTATACATATATGATACTGTGTCTCGATTTATTATCGATTCACGATTGTCATTTAGGTGCATTAATTTGCCCTCCTTCTTCCCCGAACCTATATCTTAAATTTTATATATTATTATAATATTATTGCAATTATCTGATTATTTATAAAAGTTAAGCTAAGACATGCATATAAAAGTTTTAATTCAAAGGATTTTATTAGTAGCTGTATAAAGCAGCGATTAAACAATTGTTAATGATAGATTAACGATCGACTTAAACACATTTTGATTTTTAGTATAGCTAAGAACTACAACACAATTGTAAAAAAAATTGTTATATTAGATGGACGAGACCACCTGAAGAAGGAGAGCCAACTGATAATGAAGATCAAGAGGAAGAAGAGGAAATACGAGAAGAAAGAAGACAGGCAGAACCATCTCATCGCGATTAGATTGTAAAAAAAACGAAGATTTTATAATAATTAATGTTTCGTACATGTCGTATAAATGCTACTTATACGGAAAATTCAAAAATATGCATTTTTTCAAAATAGGTCTTTCTCCAAAATGGATTTTTTTATCAAATAAGCAAGACATTTATCGTGAGAGCCATTGTTAGAAATTGCATTATTAAAAAATGCAAACGAATAGGCACTCTGTTTAAGATTATCAAAGGAACATTTCAAGCTTAAAGAATATGTGAATTTGCATTATTTGTGCAATAAATTTGTTGTTCGCATATGATAGCATATTTTTTTTCATGAATATTCTTTTTGTTAGGAAAAATCATTAAGTCTCTCGGAAATAAAATTTGAAGGAAGCTCAATTACTAGATATTTCGCTGAAAAATGAATTATTCGACCAAAGTTTCGCGAGATCCTGATATTCAGCAAAAATATCACGTTATACATATATAAGAAAATATGTAACACATATGCAGAAAGAGAGAGAAAAAATTATTCTATTGTAATATAATTAAGAGTGTTTTCTAATTACAAATGATGATATAATTTAATAATTATAAATGATGTTATGATAGAACAAATTTTCAAGTAATATATATCTCACGCACATATTTTCAAATTAAAAAAAAAAGACAATTTATTTGTCTTACAAAAAACTCAGGAATTCAATGTGAGCCTATTTGTTGGAAAACAAGAACTAACGAAGTGGTTGTTCCTATTTCAAAACTATATATATACATATATACCAGAATAATTATATTGGATATAGCTACGTAAAGAAAATGCATGAAAATAATATTTATATATAGCATTTAAGTAACATGCTTGTGAAATATATCCGATCCGAAGAAATATGACAAATATAAAGATTTAAAAAATAGATCTTTGGTCATTAATATAAATAAATATATAAAAATGTTTATTAATTATAAAATTCTGTCAATTTTTATTATGCATTATAGTTTTCTTTTTTAAAAACTTCGCAAAATATTATCACTGATTCACACATGATAAATTCTTAAAAATAAATTTAACTGTAAACGGAGAGTGCAATTGGCTTAAAATGATTTCATCGCTAAAATTTGTGCGCTATATAGATTGTATATTTAAGATATTAAAAGGAGCTATAATCAGATGTTAAATCATCGGTATGATTGCATTTCAGTTTTTTATACGTTTCTTTAGTTGTGAATGCATATAGCCTTGTAGTTTGGATAATTTTTAATTGCATATTTTAAATATTTAATGAAAAATGTATCGCCAAAAAAGAGAAGGTTTGTACATATATACAAATAATATGTGTATAAAAATATATTAGTTTATTGTGATGTAATCCTAAGACATTATCTTTTTTCCACACATGTACAGATTTATCCTCTTCCAAATATTCTTTAAAGTTCAGAAACTGTTAGTTTTCAATAAATCAGATGTCTTCATCTCTTCTAATCGATAAATTAAAAATGTATTGATTCATTGTAAAATACTTTAACAATCATAAGAATAAAAGTATTGCAAATTATAGGAAATATGAAAATTCGAGATATCAAAGCAGCAAATTTTTATAAGCAAATATATAAATTTGTTTATTAAATATTTTATTATAAAAGGCACATATAGAACAGACTTTTATATTCTTCTTAAAATAGTGTGCGTGTATCTAGATTAATCTCTAACATTTTATATTATATCTTACATTTTACATTTCACATTTTAATAAAAAAATAAGTTATTTTTTAACAATGATGTAATCAATATTATATTTTAATAAATGTATAAAGGTTGTATTATATATTTTACCACATTAGAGTATATTAATACTTAAACGATAACATACTTATCATTTTTTATGCGATAGTATATTCATATTAGAAATAAATTCAAATGCATAATAATACATAATCTCTTTTAGCAATTCTTGCAAGCAAAGAATACTTTTCCTTCCTAACTACAATATGCAATATATTTCTTAAAATGGTAAGCGAATAAAATGCAATGTGAACATCATAATTGATACTCCAGGCATAAAAAAAGAATTTGATATTATGTTTATGTTAGTTCATGGCACTTCAATTTTAAGGCAGCGTTTTCTTGTTTTAAGAATTCTAATTTATTCTGCTGATCCTCAGTTTGCATTCGCAAAGCAATTAACTCTTGCTGTAAGTGCTCATTCTCCTCAATTAAGGCTTTCATTCTAGCAGAATCTTTGCAGGAATCCATTTCTTTAACCACATCATCTGTCTGATCCAAGAGATTTTTTATCAAGGTAGCTTGGGAGTTTATATGCAGTTCCTCCATGGCACGTAGAATCTTTGTACTCTCTTGCTTAGTATACATACTTATTAGTTCTTTAATAGCCGTAAGCAAACCAACTGGATCTTGATCTTGTATTTTAAAACCCGGTTTCTTCGATTTATTGGGCAACTTTTCTTTCTCTTTAATCAAATAAGAACTAACCTCTCTGGAAGAATCTGAAGGACGATTATTCTCCTTACTGGAAACGTCAAAAGAATGATTGGAAGAATCAGGAGAATGTCTATTCTCCTTACTAGAAGTATTTAAGGAATGAATAGTTTCCTTATGTGATCCGGAACGCCGCATACGATCTTTATTTGCAATTTTATTTTCAGGTACCTTAAGATATCTTGCCTCTTGCAACTTTATTTTTTGTTCTTCATTAATATTGTGCTGTTTATTCTCAATTTTTATTTTTATATCTGCAGGCTTTCCTTTACTATCTACAGCCTTCTCAGTTTTCTCGACTGCTTTTATATTCACAGAAAGCTTTTTTATATTTTGATCAGATTGTTTCTTAGAATCCTTTAAAGAATCTTTACCGCCTGTAAATGTATTTGAAACTGTTATAATGGAATGTTTTTTCTGTGGTCGCGCAACATTATCCCTCTCATTCTGTTCCGAGAACTCAAGTAACGGAGATGAGGTAGCATGTCTGGTAGTTACATAGCAATCCACTTGCTCCTGAGTTATTTTCTTTGATTGTTTTAGTATTGGCTCTAGATCTTCCAAGAAAGAATCATTCATTTTGAATATCTGTATATGGCTCTATGTAAATATCTGATTTGATATTTATAATAGACGTACCACAGCAACTGTAAAAATATGTATAAAATATTAATAATGCATTTTTGAATGTTTAACAGGAAAAAAATCCTCTTTTTTGCATAATTTGACGTAATAATAATAAAAAAACGATATTAATATCTTATTATTATAAATTAAGAGAGTGAAACATAACACCCAAAAAAAGAAATGGCTTAATAAATTACTAACATTACAAACCTTATAAATAGAAATTTGTAAATTTACAAACGCATTGAATAGCTAATTAAAAAATATATAAATATAATGAAGTAAATACAGTAAGCCTCGCACTAACTTTGTTTTGATTGTTAACGGCTATCGCGACTTGAACGTGAAGGAAGCGTGCCAGTTGTGGTTAGGTTAAGTATGATCAGCTGATCGATTCAGTTGAGCGGTAAGTGAAACAAATACTTATGGCTATTGGCTCGATATTGATACTACAGATCACGCCGAAAACGAATGAAAAATAAAAAAGGGTCATGCTGGATATGCATGATATAAATAAGATACAACCGTGATTCAGCCACGATATAAAGCCACGATTCTGCAGAATTCGAGGCATTTACCGTTCTCGCAGTTCGCAGTGAAAATATTTAATCGCGATTTGTAGTCAGCAACATGAATAGTGTGCTCGTTCTAAGTCTGAACTTATTATTCTTCGCATTACCATACGAAAGTACATGTGGATTCGTGAACGTATATCCGAAACTGAAGGAATTTCGTCTCGCTGAAGGTGAGGATGCTGGTACACCGCTTTACCTGACGCCTTTAATAGAAAATGGAAAAATCGAAGAGGCGCGAGCGAAGGCTATCGTTCAAGACAAGGAGATGGGCGATGTTAGCAGTTACTCAGGTTATTTCACAGTTAATAAAGAGTACAATTCCAATCTTTTCTTCTGGTTCTTCCCAGCTATGGTAAGCAATGATCAGTAATCTTTGTGTATATAAGTATATATAATTTAACTGTGTGCTATAAAAGATCAAAAAGTTGATTGTACATAACAAAAGTGCCTTGCTATATTTATATAAATTTTATATATATGTAATGTTCTCTTGAAAGTATTTCCTCTATGTATATACTCTCTACGAATAATTATCCTGCAACTATCTAACGTATAAAAAATTTTTTTGAATTTGATAATTTTTAGAAATAATATTATAATGATATATATATGTATATATATTTTTTACTTTATTACAAATTAAAATCGTAAATTAAGATAAGGATTGCTTAGAATTGTTTTTTTATCACAGCATAATCCAAAGACCGCACCAGTAGTATTATGGTTACAAGGTGGACCAGGTGGATCTTCAATGTTTGGTCTTTTTCTGGAAAATGGCCCATTTATTGTAACTGCTAATAAAACTTTAAAAATGCGGAAATACTCATGGACCTTGGCACACAATGTAATATACATTGATAATCCAGTTGGTACTGGCTTTAGTTTTACTGATAACGAGAAAGGATATGCCAGAAATGAAACAGATGTAGGGAGAGATATTCATACTGCCTTGGTACAATTTTTCCTGTTATTCCCAGAGTTACAAAATAATGATTTCTTTGTTACTGGCGAGTCATATGCTGGGAAATATGTGCCAGCAGTGTCTCATGCCATTAAAGATTACAATATCAAAGCAGAAACAAAAATTAACTTGAAAGGTCTATCCATTGGCGATGGATTATGTGATCCAGAGAACCAATTGCTATATGGCGATTATTTGTATCAAATCGGGCTAGTAGATCGAAATGGACAGGCCGAATTCCAAAAATATGAACAACAAGCCCGCGAGTTTATTAAACAGAAGGAATTCATCAAAGCGTTTGAGATTTTTGATATACTCCTTAATGGCGATTTAAGTGGCACTCCATCTCTATTTCACAATTTAACTGGTTTTGATTATTATGATAACTATTTACATGTAAAAGACAACAATGATTCTGATTGGATGTCCGAGTGGATTCAGAGAGCCGATGTAAGATATGCTATACATGTCGGTAATAATACTTTTCATGTTGAAGCCAGCATTGTCGAAGAGTATCTAAAAGAAGACGTCATGCAATCTATAGTAGTTCTTTTAATAGATCTTCTGAAACACTATAGAGTGCTCATCTACAATGGACAATTGGATATCATTGTGGCATATCCGCTCACTGAGAATTATCTACAGAAGTTGCAATGGTCTGGAGCAGACAAATATGCGAAAGCGCCAAGAAAGTTGTGGAAGGTTGGAAATGAATTAGCAGGCTATACAAGAAATGTTGACAATTTAACGGAGGTTCTTGTACGAAATGCTGGTCACATGGTTCCTTCTGATCAGCCAAAATGGGCATTAGATCTAATCACTCGTTTCACACATAATAAGAAAATTTAAACAGTTAACAATTGTTACATAGGATATATGTGATAAAAGCTCTCTGCAGATTTTAATAATAAACATGTATATATACAAGTATGTATATGGATACACATTTAATATGTGAACATAAGGCAATGTACCAATAATATTAAAATACTCTAAAAAGTTTTACAAAGTCAAAGATAAATACAGTAGATTTATGTAATAGAAATTAATAAATTTATTAAGAAAATTTATGTATAAGTATTTTCTTATTATATAGCTTATACATTATATAAACAATTTAAAAAATACATAGATCCATAATAAATAATTCTATTTCTTGAAATAGTTCGAGTTCTGCATAGCAAAGTCTATAATTCTTATATATTACAATTCCTGATTACAAAAAAATTATAATATATAATTAAAATCATCTCTCTATATGATACAAAATAATCTTAGCATTATAGATATACATTTATGTCATGTTTGTCTTCCTTTTTTTTAATTTATATGAATTTAATTTAATATGAAATATAAAAGAAAAAATATGTCATAAGAATAAACTTATAATTGTGTAACTTTTTATTATGTGATGATAAATTCTTTGGATTTTCTATTAAACATGATATTTGGCAAATTTTATTTCTATACATTTCACCTACATTTCAATAAATTTAATCTAAGTATGGTAATAAAAAATGATCTACTATTGAAATATTTTTATGCCATTCAGTATGGGGAATTCCTGGCACAGTAATGAGTTTTAGTTTTCCCTGTTTATCTAATGTTTTCAAGCCAATTACATCATTCTTATAAATAGATCTGTCACGCATTTCTATCACAGTATTGTTATTATCGTAATATCCAAAATGGCTACTTTGCCAAGGAGTGATAACCCCATCGTCTGGTCCTCCGATAAGTATCATACGTTTTAACTTAGTCAGACCTGTTTTATAGTCAGAATTATTGTAAACATCTATTTCATTGTTCACATATGGTAAAAACTTGCTGTATTTATAATATAGTTCCTGAAAGAATAAAAAGTTTGTTATAATACACCACAATATACTGAAATCATGTAAGATAAATTATATTAACTTGATGATAAGGATCATTCCAGTAATTTCCAATACTGGTATGTTGTCCAAGTCGTGAATAAAAAAGTTCATAGGCAGTTTCACAAACTAGATCTGGGAAGAACAAATGCAGAAAACGTGCTGGAAACAAGAGATTTCATGATTACAACAAAATTTCTGTCTTTTTTTCTTTTCAAACATAATATTTTTTACATACTTCCATATTGCCCTGCTTGTGGCGAACTCAGGGAAATAAAGTTTCTCACATTATGCATAGGAAATCTTTGTAATATTGCTCTAGCTAATAAACCACCCTGGCTGTAACCTATTAAATTAATTCCTTCAGGAAATGCAGCACCTATAGAGAGTACATCCATACCAATTTCCTCTACCTGTTGCCACATGGGTTCCAGACTACTCCAGCCTGCAAACCTAACAGTATTGTAAACTGGAGTCCCAGGGTGTATCTGTGAAAATATGTTGAAGATGTATCTCAAGTAATAAAAAAAAAGATTAGTTTTCTCTCTACTATTCCATCTAAATTATAAGTTATATTCAGAACATCTACAATAAGTTATCAACTGTAAAAATAGTTATGGAAGCATTAACATGGGAAATTGTACCAAAGATATATAACATATGTGGAACATAGTAAACCAAATTAATGACTATAAGAAACCAAATTTTTTTTTATTCATAAATAATAATATAATTATTATTTTTTTATCAATAAAGCGAGGCGAATATTAAAATATGCATAATAATTTATGTGAAAGAATTGCAATCACGAAATCAATGTGTCATATTTGCATACTAAAACGATAATATTGACAATGAGATGTCTTCTTTTGTTAGCTTGCCTACCTCCTGGATTCTATTACTAATTGTTTCCATGCTATCACTTCCAGTAAGAACTCCATGAATGATAACTACAGCGTGATATGATTTTGCTTGATGACACGATAATAAAGAGACTAAAAACAAATAAATATGTATCACAGAGTTTGTACTTGTCATTGTTTCTTGCACGAAAATGGCACTTAATCTTAAATCAGCTGTTTACAGCCACACAATTCAAGTTGCACAACTCTTTCTATATCCAAAATGAGATAGATATATAATTAAATGCTTGAGATAAAAAAAGAAAGAGAAAAAGAGATGGAAAGTGCAAAAAGAGAACAGATCTCACAATGCATTTCATGGAGCGCTACATTGCGATAAAGTAAGAGATAGAATCACGCCGATAAGAACATAGTTCAGCATTATCGATAAATGGTGCTATATAATGGAGCATGGAGCTCACAAACAGAATCCCATTCTTATTGAATCTGTATTTCCTTTCTGCGGACATTCTCTGAGGTGTATACATTTTTTTTCAAATATCTATAAAACATGTAACAAAGAGAAGCCTAAAAGAATATCCATTCTGTTATTTTTTGAGGAATATGCGTGGGATATTGACAAGCCTTGTTAAGTACCACCACCTGCATCCATTTTAGAAACTACTTAGCATTATATAGCCAAATCAATTTTTTGATTCTGCCGGTAAGATTACTGTTTCGGTATACATATCCGTATACTACTTATATTAATTATAAATCATGAATACGGACTTGCCGTGTGTAGATTTAATTAACAAATATATATTTCATTAACTGCGTGTGGTCTTTTTCCATTCTAATATATATCATAAACAACACAATATGTCATTATTGAAATATATATTTATATATATATAAGATGTCCCACCAAAAGTGGCCACCCCCTTTTATTTTTTAAAATTAAAAAAGACAGACCATAACAAAAATATATATCAAATTAAATGGTTCAAACTTTTCATTATTTTAATGCATTAAGTTAAATCAAATTAAATTAAATTTAATTACTTTAATCCTGCAATTTATATGTCTTATTATTTTCAATCCGAATGACAAATTACATTTAGATCGATGGAAAATTTTAAAAGCGAAATATATACATTTGACTCTAAGCATTGTTAGAGAAATAATTATTGTCTATAAGAATCACAACGAAACGATAATTTATAATTTTTATCTTTATTGCTTTGATTCTTATGTGAAATAATAAATGATCGCGCGAAATATGAGCTTCGATAAAGATCTATTATCACTCAGTTATGTATCGTTTATCGAAAGTTAATTATTTGTTAATTATCATAAATATAGCAAAATTTCCCGATATTTATCGCGATCAAGTTTCAAAAAGGAATGTGAAAATATACGCGGAGAACATCTTTCACAACTATTTTACTGCTCGAGTGTCGCCGCGCGAATGATAACAAAGCCGCGGCATGTAAACAATAGCGCGCTATTGTTGACATGCTGCCAAGGCCGTGTTATTATTAATTTTCGTCGCTGAAATATTTTACGTATTATAAAATCTCTAAATACGCGATATACACACACACATACTATGTCTCTTAAATTATAGATTAATTATTAATTAAACGCTTGATATATTAATATGAAGTCTCTAGTTACATTATTTGCTCGATTATGCAATTTGTGTCTTATCACGCATTCTCAATTCGAATTGCAAAGTACAAAATTTTGGCTTTGCGAAAAATTTTAAAAATAATATATTTGATTTCAAGCATTGTTGGAAAATAATTATTACTCGTAAGCATTGCAACAAAACGATAATTAATAATTTTTATCTCTATTGATTCATTTTCTACTTGGCATAATAAATGAATAAATCATGAGAAATATGCACTTTGATAAAAATCATATCGAAAGTTGATTAATAGCGCATTATTTTCCAATATCGCGATTGCGATTCGAAAAAGAATTTGACAATATACGAAACGTTTCGTATCACTATCTGTAATATTTAAAATAAATACTCTTAAAGATGACAATGCTGAATAAAAATTGGTAAATGTCTCACAAGAAACATTGTTCTTATGTTAGGCTTTTCTGCAAGCTTGCGGCTCTGAATAAATTTTATTATATTATATTATTACAATATTAAATATAATCTACTTTAAACTAAAATTATTTAAATATTAAATTGCGATTGTTAAACTTAATATTATTGATGCGTAATATATCCGATTAAATCGTTATATCGTAAAAACTGTATATTGCATCGACCCCCCAAATCAATTAGGTTTTTCCATAGAAAGTATTCTAATTAGAAGTAGAAAAAATTCCATAAATATGAAAGCAATGATCCTGTATTTAAAGCGATGATCGGTGACGATGGATCTGAGGGTGCGTGAAAGGAAGGGTGCTGACTGCCGAAGGAATCCAATTGCATCACGAAACGCTGCGTTGCAGAATATAGTAGGTCGCCACCCTAATCCTTACGGGGCTGCTGTATACTAGGTGGCGGGGCACGTGGTATTTCCCGAGCTCGCTTTAGCCATACATCACCGTACTCTGACATCGCCACCGCTCTTAACCCCCAACCCGTAAGACGAAACTCACG